CCTCTGAGGGCAGATGAGTGGCCCACAGCAGTTGCAGGAGGCAGCCTGGCAACAGCAGACTCTGGAGATGGGCACTGAGGGCAGTTTACTCAGAGCCACGCAAAAGGAGGAGTTGCTCTTGGTAGGTACGTTTTCATACATGAGTCCAATAGGAAACATTTTTGTGCCCCTCAGTGTCCATCTTTGAGCCCCTTATTCTGCCTGCCTATTTCTGTACTTGCAATAACTTTGTACCATTTTGGTGATGCCAGTATAGTAATACCACAATCCACTGTTGTGGCAATGTGACAAACCCTGGTCATTCCTCAACCTGGGAACATGGGAAACAGCCTTGCACCAAGTGGACTATGGATCTAGCTAGCTCATTATTGTCTGCAATGACTGGCAGTGACTTCCACAGTTTTAAGATGGATCTTCTTCAACCCTATCCAGAGATGCTGGAGATTGAATCCAGGATCATCTGCATGGAAAAGATTTTCCTGTCTTTCCCAACTGGTTACAGAACCACTTGCAAGGCTGCAATACTGCAACATTGGGATGTTCTGCAGCCACTTCTTTTGCAATCTGTCCTGAACTCACATGTGCTGATACATTTGCTTTATATAGTCAGAAAATGACCCCATAATAAAAGAATTGAATTTAGTCTATCCAGTGTTACTGGGGGCAAGTGGAAGGAGATGTCAGTTCAACAGCCTACAGTTGGTGTGGCAGATGGAAAATAAAATTGTTTAGGTTCAAAAAATATTTGGAAAGGTGCATGATAAGCAACTAGAACAGCTTTCTACCATTTTATTCATCTAGCAACAATATTTGCACTATTTACTTGCAGTGAACATACTATAAAGAAAAGGACTATGTGCTAAACAATCTAACATTATCATTACAGCACTCTATGGATGTAAAAAGCGACGTGTTCCCCTCTGCTGTTCGCTGCTCCGAAGAACGTCTGTCTGAAGGAGGGCTATTCTTACTGGCAAATGGGGTACACATGTTCTTGTGGCTGGGAGTCAGTGCCCCACCAGAGCTTATCCAGGGGATATTTAATGTGCCCTCCTTTGCACATGTCAGCACAGAGGCTGTGAGTACACATGGTGGTGTAAGATGGGGGTGGGGAGAGGTGTTGCGTGCTTGCCTTGAAATGCAATCTCCAGCTTTAACGTCTGTTTAATGATAAAATGTCCACTGGCAAGTACACCTTTAAGATCATCACCGCCCCCCCTTACTAGTCAAGGGGGCTGAAAGTACAAACACTCTGCCAGTTCACAAGCAGGCAGTGGTAAAGAACCAGGGGTGGGTTTCTGCAGCTGAGGGTTATTCTAGATGAAAGGAAAATACTAAGTTTCTCAATACGTATATTAACGCCCCTCCTCATCTGCTCAGCATAATGGCTACCCAGCTGTTGTTCTCTGGCTGCATTAGAACCGCACCCCAGCAGAGAGTAACATGTGGGTCAGCGTTCTTTAATTCAAGGGAAGCCCAACCCTTTACAGTTTAAAGAGCTGTAGTATAAATTGGATGTGCAAACAGATTTTCTTTCTGTCCTACCCCCAGCCTATTCCTGGGCTTGAAATGTCCCAAATTAAAAAAACACACACAATTCTGCACACCTCCAGAGACTTCAGTATACAGTGGTACCTTGGGTTACAGGCGCTTCAGGTTACAGACACTTCAGGTTACAAACTCCGCTAACCCAGAAATAGTACCTCGGGTTAAGAACTTTGCTTCAGGATGAGTACAGAAATTGTGTGGCGACAGCACAGCGGAAGCGGGAGGCCCCATTAGCTAAAGTGGTACCTCAGGTTGAGAAAGTTTCAGGTTAAGAACAGACCTCCCGAATGAATTAAGTTCTTAACCTGAGGTACCACTGTACCTGAAGGAGCATCTCCACCCCTGTCGTTCAACACTGAGGTCCAGCTCCGAGGGCCTTCTTGTGGTTCCCTCACTGCAGGAAGTGAGGTTACAGGGAACCAGGCAGAGGGCCTTCTTGGTAGTGGTGCCCGCCCTGTGGAACACCTTCCCATCAGATGTCGAGGAAATAAACATCTATCTGACTTTTAGAAGACATCTGAAGGCAGCCCTGTTTAGGGAAGTTTTTTATGTCTGATGTTTTATTGCTTTATCATCATCATCATCATCATCAATTCTGTTGGGAGCCACCCAGAGTGGCTAGGGAAACCAAACCAGATGGGTGGGAATGAATGAATGAGTTAAACATTATTGAAATCCTCTTTAAAACTCTAGTATTTTCTGCAACTTTGGAAAGGAAGTAAGTTAACATAACGTGGGAAGCAGAAAGGAAACACGCAAGATGCTAAATGCAATTGAAAAGCAAAATGTCATTTATAGAAGAAAATCAGAATTCGCATGGTGTTAAGTTGCAGCAGTAGCCCCAACTTATGGGTATTGTTGTGGTGCATGTATTTAACTGGGTTTTCATGTTACAGAGAGCTAAGTTGCAGCTGTTGGCATAGGAGCCTATATAAAATTTCTTTGCTTTTTGTAATATCTAAGTTGCAACTTAATATGGGTGATTAAGACCCATATTAAGAGAATGGATTTAACACTTTATTCCTTCTATAGTCCCAGTCTGGACCACACGCACATACACCCCACTACTATTTGCTCCAGAAGAAAGTTACAATTGACACCAAATACTAGCCACTTACTGTGGAAGATCTGGATTGGGAATATGGGTGGGGGCAAAGGTTTTAATCCCCTGCCACCCCAGAATCTGAAAAAGAAAATGAGGCTGGCCAAAATAAGTAGTCAGGGCTGCTTACTGCAACAAATACAATGTCCAAACCCATGAACAATTATAATCAAAATAAATCCACAGTTGCAAATAATAGTAATCCAGATTAAAATCCAATGCAATTTGGTCACACCATAGAAGCCCCCCATCTCCCACAATATGTAAATAAGCCCGTCTTTTGACCCAAATAAATTCTTTTATACATTAATTTTCTGTGCGTTTTTATCATGCAGACACTTCTTCCTGAAGTGGACAATCCCTACTCTAAGAAACTGAGATCAATGATTGATCATCTGCAGAGCAAAACACCTTATTCCATGAAGGTAACAGATTAAATTTCCCTTGTAATGCTATTTTTAAAATGCTTGCTGAACTGTGCAGTTTTGACATGGGGATAGCAAACAGAACTTCTTTCAAACCCTTTCTGCTTTGTGTTCAGTGAAGTTTGTTGAAAGGTACAACAGACTCAAGGCAGTATTTTTGAATTCTTAACACCTGGATCACAACTTTTCTTTTCAGATCCTGATTGTGAAGCAAAGGGAGCAAGCAGAAATGGCTTTCAAACAATTCCTGGTTGAAGACAAGAGTATTTATGGAGGAGCTTCTTACGTGGATTTCTTGTGTTGTGTTCACAAAGAGATCTGTCAGCTGCTCATGGATGCTTGAATATTAATTCTCTTTGCATTTTGTCAAAAGGGACTATTCTTAAGTGACCAACCACCAGAAGGTGCTTTTTAACCCTACTTTTTTTGTACAGTTTCTAATTTCATACACTAGTGCCCCTTTTCATAATAATGTAGCATAGGCAAGTCTGTGCTCAGGTATAACTCCTATGGGAGAGCATTTATTGTTCTTTAAAAGGAAAAATATTTCTTATGGCAAGATCTGGAATCCTGGAATCTTTCAATGCTTAAAGCGTGTGGTTTTCATTTCATAAACTTTCAATAAATTGCAAAGCATTATAAAGTTGTTACCTTTGATTTTTAGTGCTCATGAACTGATCGTTTTGTTCTCAGCCCTGTTATGTTTTGGTCTATTTACAGTTTCGAGTTGATATACATTTAAGTAACTGTTCTTTTCATTTTGTGTGCTGTGATGCACCATGGTAACCAAAATATCAAGGAGTTGGAGCACTTTCCTTAGGATGAAAGATTTAAAAACAGGGGTAACAGACGGTGTCTTCCAGACATTGCAATTCCCATCCCTGACCATGTTGGCTGAGACTGATGGTAGTTGTAGGCCAACATCTGGAGACCATACTGCCTGCTCCTGTTGCTTAAAGCATTTGTGGCGGATAAAACAGAAAGTGGGCAAAAGCTTTTCTCCCTCTTGTAACGTTAGAACTTTTAGTAACTCAAGGAATGGCTGCTGTAACTAGGTAGGTCTTTTAGTCTGAACCAGTAGTGTGCTACTTATGCACTAAACCAGTGGTTCCCAATTAGCTAAGTATTGCAGTCCTCTTGTTTTTCTGAAGCCAAGCTATGGGCCTCCTACTTTTGAAAAATGTTTATGTATATCTGGAGTAGTTTTTGCTTTGTGAATGGTGCCACGTTACCCTCCAACATGTCCCACTGCAAAACTGGGATGCCATCTTCTGTGCTGCACTCCCACATGAATCACGTTACCCACACGAAAGCACAGCCGCCCAAAAAATGTGTGGTTTTGGGTGCCGCAATCTGATGTGTTTGGGGGCGAAAGCACAGCCCCCAAAAGCAGGCTGTGCCGGACAATTGACAGGTATGTGCCATGGACTCACTGGGTGGGTTATGTGGACCCCCAATTGGGAACCACTACATTAAACTGTTAGTTTGTTAAACAAGCTAGGACACTTTTTCTTAACAGCTTGATACATTTTCCATCTTCATCTCGGTCTATCCTGTGTTCTGTTGCATCGTAACAGAAACAGTATTTCATAGTCTTTTATTACAAGAAGCCACTATTGCTATACTACACTGTTCTTGCAAAAGGACCCTACCTGACCAGACTTAAGTGTCCATGATGTAGTCCACCTTCATATTTCCATAAGTGCCTCTAGGAAGTGCATAAAGGACATTAAGCCATCTCCTGGTGTTCATCCCAAGCTTCTGGTGTTTGAAAGTATATTGTCTCTGATTATGAGTTTTCGTTCAGCTGTTGATGGATGTATATGAATGTCTGATTCTTTTAAAAAGCCATCTAAATTTGTAGAACATAATATTCTTCAGAAGCTGGAAATTACTACCTTGAAAAATAAACTATTACTTTAGTCCTACAGTAGCTTTTATCTTTACTTAACTAAGACCATTTTAAAAGCATATTTTACATCCCCAATTTTCTTGGAGTCGGTATTATACAGGATACAATCAATCTCATCCAGTGGTGCCTTCTCTCATGTAGGATGTGGAAATACACTGGTCTTCAAAAAAAATCATAGGTTGCACAATAAACTGACTTTAGAATTTCGTTCCCATTCCACTAGGTGGCAACTCTACCTAATCAAACCAAAAAGGTTAACCCGAGTCACACATTTGTCTTGGATACTGCATAAACAGTTTCACAGCTGAGTTCTCTTTTACAGACTTGCATAAAATCACAGTTCTATGGAAAAATGTATTACTACAGTAAATTAGGATTTAAACCTGCAAAGCTGAACGTGAAAACTGACAAGAACCCGCTAATGAAAATAAATATATAAAATAAAGGCAAGCATCCACTAAAATAATTATACATTTATCAAAAATAGTAGAAATACATTCCATCGCTTAAAAAGACATTTAAAAGCTGGCTTTCAGGAACCAAAGTACAAGAATTTTTGAGTCCTTACAACTTCTAGTCTGGAGGATTCCTGACAAGATGAGCTCAGATTTCATCATATACAACCAATCCATAACATCAGTTTTTTTTTTAAAAAAAAGCACCGAAAATTCAAATGATCATTGGGGGGGGGGGGGAGAGAGAAAGGGAGTACAGCCTGTAGCCCCCACTCTGTTGTTTATGTGGATCAAAGCACCTGGCTGCAATAAAAGAGCAAATGAATTCATATTTACAAGCAGTATTTTAGAAGTAATTTCCTATCATTTTGGTATTATACATATTTACAGCACAATCCAGCCTGGCACCTTCTGAAGTCCCAACAGCTTCAACAGGAAATTCAGCATACCTGAATTTCTTCCACTAAATTGCTTCAGTTTAGTTGGACCATATTCTTAAGTGTTTTGAGCCTTCTGCAAGTAAATCTTAACTTTAATTTTTCAGCCAATGAATATGCTAAATTGTTATAGGTATTATCAAGATTTTAACTTTTTTTCTTTTTTTAAAAAGGCAGCCATCACCACCACTCTTTGCATCATTCCCTGATTACACACATATATGGACTATGTGCTGACATACAGATATGAGGTATCAACAGAATACTGATAATAGGTTCTCTGCGCTTCCTATCAATCATTAGTCTCAAAGTCAATCACCTCTTAAAAGAAAAATTAACATATTTGACTCAAGTTGTTAATTAAAATGCCAAATATAATAGTTTCTGTTTACATCAGCACCAATTTTCTCGTATTGCAATGGGAACTAGAGTTGCATTTCATTAGCCTGAGAATAAATAGTGTTTAGAGGGGGCAAACAAGGATTTTTGTTCAGTTCATGAGTCAAGATTAACAGTAAATAAAATGATTTGCAAATCAGGAAGACCGAGAGTTGATGAAAGCTCTTGAAACCACAACTGAAACCACTGGGAGGTGTTTCTGCTTTGATTTCAACTTTTGTGAATGAGATCTGTCACAAGCACTGGATGTTACTCATCAAAGAAGCTGATGTGCTGTAAATGGGCTGGCTCAAGCAGCATGTATATAAAAAAGAAAGAATACAGTCGGTACTAAAATTCTGGACTCAGTCACTAATAAGTACAACCTCAGCAGAACGAAGACTTCAAACAAAGGAAAAGCAGTGGTATTAAGGCAGGGAAAGATTGAGACTTTGATACGTTCAACGAGGAGGAAAGCCGCCCCGGTGGGTACCACCCCGTCCTCCCCGGAACCCTCCCCTTTCCCCCCGAAAATTTGTTCTGTTTCTCTCTCTGCCCCTTTCTCCTCGGCCAGCTGAAGTCCCGCCTCTTCCTCCACCCCTTGGTGCACCACCACCTCGGTCTTTTGGCGGCGGCGATTTAGGTCTGAGTCTCTCAATCTCTTCTGTACAGCCAGTTAGGTTGGAATTTGGAGCTGTGAAATAGGATGTATATGTTTCTGCATTGAAGTTGCTGTTTGTGAGCGTGGGTCCCACGGTTAGCCAGCCTAAGAGGAGAAAGAAAAGCAGCAAGCTGTGAGATGCAGAGTTCAGTGCCTTGGGTACCACCAGACTGGATTACTGTAACACTACATAAAGTTAGAGATATTGTAGGAATGGAAGCAAACCATTGTTACACACACACACAAACCCTACTAGGCTTGGTAATCAGATGCTAAAAGCAGAATCTGAACTCCCATTGCTGAAGTGCTGCTAGGGAGGTTCATAGACGAAGGTCAGATTACCTGCTCGGTGGAAAGAGAAGAGAGGCAGGCAAATACACCACTACATTTGCAGAAGAAACTTTTGGGATTGATTAGTTTCTAAGGTGGTCAAGAAAAAATCAATAACTGGCCAGTATTCTTACACTTCCTTTCCTTTGTTTTTAGAATCCTTTCATCAGTTCTGCTTAGAAAGTGAGCTCTCAAGGAGTATGCATTTATCATTGTTAGAAAATGCATGATCCATGACTTGAGAGAGGAGAGCCTATAAATCCAACATTCTAGTGCCAGAACGAGACTCTCTACAATGCAGTAACCAAACAAGATATACTATGCACAAATCTTTATCCGTACATGCCTCTTTTTATTCACCAGCTAGCATTGGGGAGATCCTCCACTCACTCCAGCACTTAAGTGGAGAAATTCTTCACATAAAAGTAGCATGATCTCTTTGTAAAAGGAATTCAAGTTTGGCTCAGTTCCAGATGACATCAGTAGCTCTGGTTATTGCCCTCCCTCTCTTGTTTTATCCCCACTTAACTGGTGTATATCTCAACAAAGGGTAGAAATGGGGAGCCCTAACCTATTTGTCTGCACAATATGGCAAACATGAGAGTCTGCTGATATCAAAGGAGATGCATTTATTCTGATGCAAATGTTTAGGATCAGGGTAGGAGTATAAGGGCTAATAAGTTCCTCTTGTGGGAGAACATGTTTTCTCAAACTCAAACAACTAAACAGCTGGAATGAACCAGAAAACCATCTAGTCATTGCCCTCTGCACCAAGACAGAATACACCACATCTTAACTCTTCTAAGATCAACCCAGCTATACATGAAAACAGTGGACCATTTCGCTGAATATTGTTTTTTCTCTGACCTTAGGCTTTGAAAAAAAATGTTCAAAAAGGAGTTAGAATAATAATCTGCATAACAATTATCTTTCCTTCATTAATAACAGGAATTACTTAGCATTTGTGCATTGAAGATCCCATCACAAATAATTCTTTAATTCACATCTTACACTGCAGATAGCAGAACTTAGGTTCTTGCATTCTCATTCTCATTTCCTCCCCACCCCCAAGTGCCTTAACTCTGAAATATTTATGTTCCCATCATGTCCACTTTATTGAAAAAAATAGTCTCTTGCCTATGAAAGCTCATGCCCTAATGAATCAGTTAGTCTAGGAGTATAAGTAGATTTTGTATTTGGCTGCAACAGATTAATGTAACTACTCTCTAAAGAGTTTTTTTCTCCCACTCATGCACACCATTAATCTTTATAAAAGGTCCACCTCTCCTGGAAAAACTTTGAAATAATGATTAAGTATCAGAATCAGACCAACACTAACCTGGTCGGATTGTGCTATCCCGGCCAAAGAGGTGAAGGCGTCGTCTTCCAAGGCAAAAATGTTCAATGATGTGAAATATTTCCACTGGTTTCTCTATATTGCCAATTTCGGGCTCTTCTGTGATAATTAAATCTATGTCGACATTAGCATGGATAAAGTCTCCATCTGTACTACGACGGACTGTTCCTTTAATGCCCATAAGGCAGTGTTCCTAGGTAGAACAAAACCAAAGAGAAAGTTTTTGGAAGTATATCAGACGCACACAAGAAAATACCAACCCTGCAAATCCGCATGTCACATATATACAACTGATTATGGGAGACAGAACACAGCATGCCACTTCTTTTGAAGATCCATCTAACTAGCCAAAGACCAAGACAATGAATGGAGAAATTCTACTTTCTCAGCCGCAGATATCTTTTAAAAATTGAGCATTAAAAGCATGAAAATCATTATTCTAAAGAATGTGACCAAGTCCTCAGAAAGTGTTTCTAAAGTGGAAGTGATTGTTATAAAAGTGTGCAAAGTGCACAACAGAGATACGTTATGAATAGCAAGGTTAAATCTGCCCCACGTTATGGAAGATAAAAGATTGAGCAACTGAAGAAGCATATTTTATAAACCCTCCTGAAGTGGTTACCAAAGCTGCCATCTTTCCCAGCACCTCTTATCACTAGTTAGTGCTCAGAGGATGGCTCTGTCCTCCACCTGAACTGACCTGCCTCTTCCAGTCCAAACCAAATGAAGTAGACAGGCACTATACAAAGAGCAGAGATGGCTTGTGTTCTGGGCGCTGACTGGTGGTGCAAAGAAGAGCTGCAGGTGACCTGTATGCTCAGCACATGTTTGCCTTACGCTGAATTTTAATGCTGCTCTCAAGTGCGATTTAACAGCTGTGTTTTTATTGACCATATAGATTGGTTGTGTTGGTATTATATAAGTCCTGTTGGCTGAAGAGCACAGAAAACATATCTAAAATAAGGAAGTACTGGCACTGGAAAGGTACAGGACAGGGATGTCAACTTGGATAAAGTATCGGGGTCCAGGTAAGCCCTGCCCAGCGCAATCAACCACAAGATGCAGTGCACACACACCATTTCAATGGCAATGACCATCAACTTTGGGAGTCCTAGCCCCCGCAAACATTTTATGGGGGAGGGCAAAGGGACCTTGGGCCCGAGGAGTTGGCTCCTATGCTACAGGATGAGAAAGGAGGAGGTAGCTGTGGTGATGAGAGCCGCAGATGGGCAGATGGAGGAAGCGGCAGAAGCTCAGCTCAGGCAGAGTGTAGAGCAGGCATAGGCAAACTCAGCCCTCCAGATGTTTTGGGACTACAACTCCCATCATCCCTGACCACTGGTCCTGTTAGCTAGGGATGATGGGAGTTGTAGTTCCATCTGGAGGGCTGAGTTTGCCTATGCCTGGTGTAGAGGTTGGGGATCTTCTATATGAATCTGCATCTCTCCCAAGCATGTGTCCCAACAGAGTGTGAGGGAAACCTGAGCTTACAGGGTTAAACAGCTCAGGCTGTACGCCCTGCCTACTGTGGAGAGGAGGGGGGAGCTACGTCAGTTCCGAGAGACTAAAGTCTTTGTTCTGTCTCTCTACTTTCGCTTTTGAGGAGAGAGGACGTGTTTTTCACGATGCTGTTCGCTGTGATAGATAATGGATAGCCTGCTGTAAATAAAACTGCTTTTAGCTGCCAAGAACCTGAGTGGACTTTATTTAAGTACACTGAAGAATGCACGGGAGTGTTTTGCAGCTTCCTCTAGCCGCTGTGGATCTCAACTCTGCTATGCTCAGATGAGTCGGACTCTTGGAATGCAGAGACTCTTGGGGGAAGCGTGCCGGACCAAGCTTATCTGAGCAACCGCCTGGCAGGTGCTGAGGAATCTGTGTGAGAACTCAGCAGGAGCACAGGGCCGGGAGGAAGCCGAGAGCAGGGAGGAAGCTGAGAGCCCAGAGGGGGCTGGCCATGTTCCTGAAGTTACAGCTGGGAGTAGCTGCTTTGTCTCCGAGGGGCCGTGTGATGTTGTGGCCTACAACCAGAGTGCTGGGGAGCGTGCAGGCCCAGGCTGTGCACCCAAAGGTGGGGGTGCAGGGAACAAAGGAATGGCTGAAGAGGGAGCTGTGAGAGTTGTTGCTACGCGTCGCCGCTGTTATCGCTGTGGCTCCCCCTCCCATCTGGTGAGAGAATGTCCAGTGGAGGAACAGCCCAAGGCCGTCTCCCGTAGCAACCAGATAAAGAGCCTCGTCTTCAAAGCGTGGGAAAGGCAAGCCGAAGGCAGCTGGCAGAGACACTGAACGTAAACATTTGGCTGCCTCTATGGCTGTAGTCAAAAGTTGTCAACAGGATGCTGAGCTGGCTTTTGTTATTGATTCAGGATCATCGCATCATCTTGTGCCATCTGGTGGATTCCTGGAGAACTGCACCTCTGTAAAAACTGGGAAGACTGTCTGTTTAGCAGATGGGACTCGACACCCACTCACGCAGAGTGGCTCACTGTTTTGTTCTTTCTTGCAGGACACAATACAGGCTTTTGTTGTTCCAGGACTGTCCTGCGCGTTGCTGTCTGTCAGTGCACTTCTTGCTGAAAACTACAGAGTGTGTTTTGAGAACAATAAGTGTTCTATTTCCAAGAATGGACAGCACCTAGTCAGTGTTGAATGCAAAGACAGGTTGTTTGTGATAAATGCTTCTTTGCAGGTCCAGATGACACGGATGACACGGAGGAGGCTCAAGCGCAGTGTGCCAATGTTCCAGTTCATGATGCGTGTCAACATCTCTGGCACAGACGTATGGGACACGTGTCGTGGGGGTCGGTGAGAAGGATCCCAGAGTATACGCAAGGGTGCAAAATGAAATCATGTGCTAAGTTTCTAGATTGCAGAGCGTGCAAGTCCGCAAAGGTGAAAACGTGCACATACCCTAGGTCTGAGAGGGTGACCACTAGGGCTTTTCAATTGATTCATGCAGATTTGTGTGGTCCGTTTTCTGTGAGCAGTTTGGGCGGAGCCAAATTTTCGCTGGTTCTGATTGATGACCATACTAGGAATTCTTGGTGTTTCACGATTCGGCGCAAAGATGAAGCTGCGCCGCTAATCAAAGACTGGATTGTGGCTGTGGAACTGCAGTTTTCCACACGGGTGCAAAACTTTCAGAGCGATCGTGGTGGGGAGTTCACCGGGTCTGCACTGCAAAGTTTCTTCCGCAAAAAGGGGATTCAACACAGGTTGACTTCTCCACACAGTCCCCAACAGAATGGGATCGCGGAACGCAGGAATAGGACTCTAGGGGAGATGTCCGCAGCTCTTTTGTTTGATGCCGGGCTCCCACAGCGCTTTTGGGGGGAGGCTTGGCGAACGGCCAACTTTGTTCTGAACAGGTCGTTCAATTCAGTGATAGGTGACACACCGTATTTTTTGCTTCATGGCAAGAAACCGAAAGTGCACTACTTCCGCGTTTTTGGCTGTGAGGCCTGGGTCCTCATACCAAAGGCCAAACGCAAGAAAGGTGAACCCAAGTCCCAGAAGATGATTTTTTGTGGGTATGAGCCAGGGACCAAGGGGTGGAGGTTTGCGTATCCGTCAGGGGATCAGTCCAGGATTCTGCTCAGTAACAGTGCTGAATTCTGTGAGCAGAGTGGCTGGGCAAGGATACATGGGAACCCTGACATCCTGTCAGAGAGTCTGCTAGACTCTGCTGATGAAGGTGAGGAAGAGGTTGAACCTGCTACTGAGGCTCAGAGTCCAGGCCCAGTGCAGGCAGAGGGGAGAACTTCTCCCAAGGCTGTGAAGAGTGAGCAACGCAGTGCTCCATCTTCCCCCACAGGTTCGGCTGAGAAGTCCAGAAGGCGCAGTAAGTCAGAGGGGAGCTCTCTGATGCCAAGGACGTTCTGGCTGGCCCTAGTGGGTCAGAGGGGGTTCCTGAAGTAGTACTGCGCCGTTCAACGCGGACGACCAAGGGGAAACCTCCTGAAAGGTTTGCCGTCACTAGTGTGTGGGTCGGAATGGCACAGTGTGAACCCGAGAGTTTTGAGGATGTTCAGAAACTGCCTCAGGAAGAAGCCAGGAAATGGCATGAGGCGATGCAGAAGGAGATGAACTCAATGGAGTCTCTAGGTGTGTTCTCCCTCACGAAGTTGCCGGTGGGTGAAAAGGCAGTGGGTAGTCGCTGGGTTTACCGTCTTAAGCCCACAGCGACAGGAGAACCGCAGTATAAGGCCAGATTAGTGGCGAGAGGATTCACGCAGCAGAGGGGGTTGCATTATACGGAGAGTTATGCGCCCACGTGTAGGAGTGAGTCTCTACGCTTGATCTTGGCCATCGCTGCACAAAGAGGTTTGCTGGTGCATCACTTTGATGTGGATGTTGCTTACTTGAACTCAGACCTCCAGGAGGATCTGTACATGCTTCCTCCTCCAGGGTTTGAGGGCAATGAGCGAGGTACTGTGTGGAAACTTCACAAGTCAATTTACGGCCTGAAGCAGTCGGCCAGGAATTGGAACTTGTGCCTGAATGAAGCTTTGGAGGAGCTAGGTTTCAGGAAGAGTCTTGCTGACAGTTGCCTGTTCCTTAGAGGATCAGGAGACTCACAAGAACTGGTGTTGTTTTACGTTGATGACATCATCCATGTTGGAAAGGCAGACAAACAGGTGCAGAAGTTTGCCAAAGAGCTTGGGAAACGGTTTCAGCTCAAGGACCTGGGTGCAGTAAAGATCTACCTAGGCGTCCAGATAGCGAGAACTGAAGATGGTAGCTTCTTGCTCAGTCAGAAAGGCAAGATTGAGCAGTTGCTGGAGAAGTTCAGAATGTCCGATTGTGCAGGAGTTCGGACACCCATGGAGACGAACTTCGTGAAAGATAGCCAGCAAGCAGAGAGTGCTGAGTTTGAGAATGCTGAGCTCTTTCAGTCAGCTCTAGGTAGTCTGTTGTATCTGTCCCAATGGAGCAGACCAGACATTGCCTTTGCTACCAACCTGCTAAGTAGGGAAGCGTCAAAGCCCAGTGTGAGTGCTTGGCACGGTATCAAGCGGGTACTGCGCTACCTGCAACATACCAAAGACTTCTGTCTTAAGCTGCCAGCTGAAGGTGAGGCAAAGCTCACATGCTATGCGGACAGTGACTGGGCGAATTCGCAGGACCGCAAGTCTGTGTCTGGGTTGGTGATAAAGTTTGGGAAGTCACTGATTGGGTGGAAGTCCCGGAAGCAAAGTCTCATTGCGCTGTCTTCTACTGAGGCTGAATTCAGTGCACTGTCAGATTTGTGCCGGGAACTAGAGTTCTATAGATGCTTGGTGCAAGAAATCTATGGGGATTGTAGCTTGCCCATCACGGTTTGGGAAGACAATCAGCCTTGTTTGAAGTTGGCTGAATCTGCGCAATTTAAAGCGAGAACCAAGCATCTGGACATACGTTTCCAAAATGTGTGTCAGAGTGTTCAGTCAGGTTTGATACGACTGAAGTACTGTGCCAGTCACAGTAACCTGGCCGATGGATTTACCAAACCTTTAAGCTTCCAGCGTCATGGGGAGTTTTGTGGTGGTTTGGAGTTGGGGGTAAGTTCTGTACTTACCGTCCCCACAGTAGCGCAGGGCGAGAGGGGGTGTGAGGAAAACCTGAGCTTACAGGGTTAAACAGCTCAGGCTGTACGCCCTGCCTACTGTGGAGAGGAGGGGGGAGCTACGTCAGTTCCGAGAGACTAAAGTCTTTGTTCTGTCTCTCTACTTTCGCTTTTGAGGAGAGAGGACGTGTTTTTCACGATGCTGTTCGCTGTGATAGATAATGGATAGCCTGCTGTAAATAAAACTGCTTTTAGCTGCCAAGAACCTGAGTGGACTTTATTTAAGTACACTGAAGAATGCACGGGAGTGTTTTGCAGCTTCCTCTAGCCGCTGTGGATCTCAACTCTGCTATGCTCAGATGAGTCGGACTCTTGGAATGCAGAGACTCTTGGGGGAAGCGTGCCGGACCAAGCTTATCTGAGCAATAAATCAATATCTCCCAGACAGATATTCTCTGGAGTTCGCAGAAGGGATGGGGGATTTTCCCATTTGTCCACAGTTAAGTATAACATCCCTCTGAAACAAACTGAAGTTTTGGCTGACTGCCTAAGGTGAACTATGTGGGTCTTCAGATTTGCTCCTCTTTGATTAACCCCTGTCCTCCTAGTGTTGAGGCTGTGAATTTAATCAACAATGTGCCCATTAATTCTGTACTCTACACAGTTACTTATTTTTATGCAGTGGTATTTGCAATTATAGACAAAAATAAATAATTTCCAAAAAACCCAAAACTAAACAGTGTCAGTTTTATGCAGCTTCTTTCCACAAATTCAAATGCTCAATAGAAGTTAATTGCAGTATGCTATGGAATCAGTACTAATTGACTTAGATAACCCCAAGAACTGCCCTGTGTCAATTAAATGGACAGTGACACTCAATGTCTACTCTATTCTAATGTTAAAGATGATGGGCTATATGGAATTGGCGGAAATGACTGGTAGAATCCGTGACCAGGGAGAAGAGTTGATGGAGGAAGATTGGAAGAAATTCAAAGACTATCTTCAGAAACACTGCAAAATTAAAGAATGTTAGAGTGATGTTGGATTGAAAATAAGTGGTTTCCAGCTGTACAGGTTAAAGTTAATGATAGACTAAGATTAAAGATTAAGATTAAAGATGTTTAAAGAAATGGAAATTTGATATTAAGAGGGAAAATTTTAATGTTATATGATACTAAGACCAAGGATTAGGTTTAAAGAAGTTGAAGTTATATATTTTAATATTTTATTAAATTAAAGTTTGGGATTAAAAAAGTGGAAAAGAAACTGCTGGACAAATAATTTGGACTGGAATACAAAAGAGGGAGGTATGAGGAAGTCCAGAAAGTAAGTAATTTAAAAATGGAAATGGAAAAGAGATATTGTTTTTAATTGTTATGGTTTTTTTTGTTTTTTATTGTTGAATTTTGTGTTGCCTTTTGTGTGTGTTGTTGTTATATGTATTGTGTATGTTTTTTTTCCTCTTTTTTATTGTCTAAAACTTTAATAAAAATTATTTTTTAAAAAAATAATAATAAAAATAAAGATGAATGCAAGTGGCTGTTCACACAGAGGTAGTCTACATAACTGATGTAAGATTACTTGCAGGTTCTGCAGATTAATCGGGTTTTGAAGACCACCACCCAAATGGGCAATTTCCCCCAGATCATAAAATGCTGATTTACTGAAGTCACCAGATGGTTTTCACAAAATTGCAGACATGAATGAATAATCATTTCCAGATCTCTGGCGCAAGCTGTAGGGGTTCGCATTTTGAAAAAGCAGAGAAAGAAAAATGACCACTTGGACATGTACTGCAATTCTCAAAACTTTAGTCTCTGGTAAAACAGCCCTGAGGTTCAAACAGATGAGGAACTTTTCTAAACTAGTCTTAGTGCTTCTACCTCAGTACTGAAAGCAACAAAGCAATACTAAAGGCACGCAAGGACACTAAAGCCGCTAATCAGGGACATTGCATAAAAGCAGCATATAGGTAAATCTTCATTGTAGACATGAATCAACTTCTCATACTTTCAACGTGTATTTCTCATGAGTATTTCAAGACTTGTAAGTGACCACAGAATTTAAGACACACACAGGGATAACAAAAACTGTTTTAAGCTAAATATACAATTAAATATGACAAATTCAAGAAGCTTACTTTGTAAGATGCCATATAAGGTCTATAATAGCAACAACCAGTCACCAGGTATCCTTTAGCAAGTCACCCCACCCTACTCTCCAGCTTGGCGTAACATCTAGCCTGATGAAGAGTTCTGGATAACTTAAAAGCTTGTTCAAAGTTTTGTGCTTTTCGTTTCGCCACAAGAAACATATTTCTGACTGTGGACTTCTTTGTTTTTTCTTAAGAATCAACATGTTTGTGGTCCTATCCCCCTCATCGCCACAGTATGTAATGTATAACATGAAGAGTTAGGCTCCGTTCTCCTCCCACCCACCATTTCAGATTGAACTAGACAAGTGAGGAAATGCTGGTAGGATCGTTTTTGGAGAAACTTGTGTTATACAATTAAACAAATCTCTTCGCTGCTGCTGTAAATAACCTTAGTCATTCATCACAAAGAAATACAGTTGTTTGAGAAAGCACTACAAATACTTTCAAGTCCTTAATAGATTGCACCCATATGCAAATGAATGCATTCAATCACTTCTTTTCCTTCAGTCCTTCTCCAAGCCGCTGTATCATCTTTACAGACCGCAAACTCACCACAGTAGTGAGCCCATCTCAATTTACATAAAGTATTGTGTGTAGCAATAATGCTCTGCAAATATTGAGTTAGACACAGCCCTTAAAATGTGTTTGGTGAAAACTAACAGAACAAATGTCATAGAGTAAACTACATACATATGCAACCAATTCCTGATACTGCTTGCTTCAGGAAAAGCAGCAATCTCAAGAAAAGGCAATTTGAGAGGAGAGGATATTGAACCACTCTCCAATTGCTGCCACCCAACATTGCTTTTATCTAGGGAAAGCAGCTATCAGGCTTTTGCTAAGCACATCTTAAATTTCTCCAGGTAATCCTACTGACATTTTTCCAAAGGTGGAAAGTCTTAAATAATTTAACTCTACACTAACTTATTTTTTCCGCTCTATCACTTCTCAACGACAACCTATCAAACGCAAAGTAATATCCCAGAAATCTGCTCTAGTAAGAAACACAGTTGTCTTAAGGAACTGGTGTGGCTCCAGTTCTACAATGCATTTAGCATTGTAGGGTAGTGATAGCAATCCCAAACTGCTCTTGAGAAAACCAAAAGAGAACCCCTTACTACCAATATATTTTATTTACATTTCAATGTAGGAGTCTTAATAGTTGACAAAATGAAAGTCAATCACACTGCATTCCCATCTATAGCAACAGACTAGCACAAAGAAAACTATACAAGGCATTCTACCCCCTCTTCCATCATCTCCTGAAGGGTGACAGAAGGGTAAAGTATTTCTAAGACGCCTTATCCTATCTGATCTGCATTTCAATAAGAATGACTGAATAAGAGCATTCAAAAGTTTCCCAAAAAGAACTTCATGAAGCTGTTAGATGAAGACAAGAGAGGATTTCAATATTTACTCAGATGAAGCTAAGAGTCCACAAATGTTAAAAATTGGTCACCCATTTTCTAAAATCATTATCAGATAAACTTACATTTGAAAGCAAAAGAAGTAAGCTGCTCTGTAACTCCTTTCCTAAAAGTACAACAGCTACCATCAACAACAGAATATCTGGTGGTTTTTGTGGAACTACTAAATTAAGAGGAGATGAAGAAATTCAGACAAAGACGTACCTTTGTTCTTTGAAAGACAGCCTTAGGGTCCAGAGTCTTGGTCTTCCCAGGATTGTTTTTGTTGGTTTTAATCCAACAGATGTCTTCACATCTTCTATAGCCCCATTTACGCAAACACTGAAACATTTCAACAAAAGGGGAATAAAATTAGACAATCACTATGTACAATACACAGAAGTAGAATAAGATATTTCACTTCTGGCATGCCTAAAAGCTTCTTCCTCTCCTGTACATTTTTCAGAATCAGATCAAATTCCAATTGTTAAAGCAAAAGCCACCTTGAAATTTCCACCGTGGTTATTCTAGCAACTCTACTAAATATTTATTTATGCAGCACATCATTTCATGTGAAGGAGTGTATGCTTAAACATTTGCTACCATGGTGGAGATGCATTGGCATGACACTAAGCATACATACAGGGCAATCCTATGCATGGTTGCTTGGAAGCAAGTCCCATTGTGCTTAAAAGGGCATACACCCTTGGAAGCCTGTTCATGATTGCACGCAGATACCTATATTGACAGAGGGAAGTATGGCATGGGAAGATGGCCAAACAAGGTCTCAGATGTAGTGCTGGAAAGCTTTCAGTCAATTGTACTGGGGAATTTCAACATGTATACCAATCTAAGCCAGCTTAGTGCTTCAATGGCTGCCATGACAACTATGAAGCTGTCAATACTTGCATTTGCTTGGCAGTTGATGCCATAGCTGGGATAGAACCTCTAATAGCAGTTTGAAAGATTATCTGGCCAGATGTTGCGGCCCAGGGATGAGAACAAGGCACTTTAGGGGTCTGGCCAACCACATCTCTTGACCCTTGCCATTCTTGGCTAACAACAGCTTGCTAAAAAGGGCTGACTGAGTGGAACCAGTGGGTGACAAATGTCTCACTGTGAGAAGGGGTACTTTTAATATCATCAGTATGCTGATGATATCTAACTCTTCTCTCTATATACTATCTGAATCAGGAAATGCTATGCAGGTGCTGAACCAGTAATGGGCTGGGTGTAAGGGCCAATAAACTGAAGCTGTTGGTGGGTGATTCACACGTCCTGAAATTAGGAAGAAGGTCTATTATGGATGTATTTGCTGAAGAAGCAGTTATGTAGCTGGGCGGGTACTGCTTGATCCAGTTCTGTCACTTGAGGTCCAGATGACTGCAATGGCTAGTAGTGTCCATTTCCAGTTATAAATGATTTGCCACCTGTAGCCTTTCCTTGACTGAGACAGCCTGCCACAGTTCTCCATGCCCTGGTAAGTTCCCAGTTAGTCTACTGTAATGCACTCTACCCTCAAGGATGATTCAGAAGCTGCAGCTGATGCAGAATGTCCCTGTAAGAGTCATTATACAATACTCACACTTTGAGAGCCATTATGCAATACCGATTCTTCAGGTGTACCAACTTGACGGTGTACCAACCATCAATTTGCTATAAAAAACCCCTATTCAAGGCAATGTGCAAAGCCTTAAATAACCTGGGACCCAAACTTGGAGAAGAGCATCTCCCTACTTCTACTGGTCTAGGTTTTGACCTCTTCAGGAAAGTCCCTTCTCATAGTGAAGCTTGTTGTGCAGTGACACAAAATACAGCGTTCTCTGTGGTTGCACCCTGCCTGCGCAGCTCAATTCCACTGGAGATATGCTTCTCTCCTACAGTAAATGACATTCCAGGGTCAGAGCGAGATGCATTTTTTTTTGCCTTGGCTTTTGGGGTAGGAGTGTATCTGGAGTGATCTGTATTTTTATGTCTGGTGATGATCTGCTAACCTGATTGTATATTTGAATGCTGTCGGTTTTAATGTGTTTTAGAAATGTTATTGAGTATGGAATAGTTTTGTTTTTGCATACTGCCCTGTGATTCTAAGAAATGAATGGCTGCCTGAAACTGCAATAAATGAAAACAATAACGAGAGACTGTTTTAAAGACCATGCATAAAATTGAACATGCTAGCTCCGTTAGCAAAGGTAGGCAGTGGAGTGGAGAAACATTACGGGTTTAATGAGAAGAATATTTAGGATACCAGTGCCTCCATCGCTCTTTCAATCAAAAGCACAGCAAAACCGCCAGAAGAAGGCACCCTAGTGCTGAAGAATTTAAGAGATACCAAAGCTACAAAGAGAAATATGATCTCTTGAAACAGTGCATGGTATTTTTCACGGGTGCCCATCAGGAAAATAAGGATTAACATTTAATTGATTTCATATCTGCCTCACCACATTATCTAGGGAAATAGAAAGAGAATTATTCTGCATTTAAAGTGACAAGAAACAGAGACAAAGTGATACTATAAGGTCTGAGAAAGTATGTGGCCCAGTGTACTGGAGCAGGATCTTACCATTCTGCCAAGATCAAGGCCCTCTCCAGAACCACACCAAAGAAAGACAAAAGAACGCGGGGAAGCTAGCTCCTCTATATCTAGCTTCATAATCTAAAAAAGACAGAACAAATAACATTTTAAGCAAATAGAGCAATACACACAACAGGCTCATGGATAGGTAAAAATATAACAAGCATTCATCCTGTAAAGGTTTTTCCAAAAAGCAAACTCACTTCATCCCAATTCCAGCACTTCTCATTAGCTGTTATGCCAGTCTCCCTATAGTATTCTTCCAGTGGTGGCTCCAAAAGAATCACATCAAACTTGAACTTAAGTTCACGCATATCAAAAGCCTCCAAGTCAGCTTGTAAATACCTATATACACAGACAAAATACAAGGTTGCTTGGATGAATTAGTGCAGGATTTTCCAATTAAGTTGAAAATTTCTCAGCAGTTACTGACAATGATACATATCTCACACAATGTTCACACAATGTTCATGGAATGAACAAAATATGTACAGATGAATGGTATTTCAGAGTAAATATCTATTATTTACATACATGAAAAGTAACACGCACTCTCTGAGAACCCAATTCCTATGGTGAAGCTGCAAAAATTATAATATTCTTGGCTTGAGTGAATCACTTCAAATTTGGAAAACCACAAACAATTGTTGACCACCAGACACCTCATTATATAGAAACTGATGTCTGAAATCAGATCTGGCCGCCATTATTCTATTAAATTTTACAAATGTTGCTACAAAATTGCACTCCTAGGTAGATGAAAAATTAGTCTCAGAGCACTGTGGTTGTTTTTGAATCAGCACAACTTTAATTCTATTTAAAAGACTGATGTCCAACTTTACTCTAAAATTCTCTTCAAAGAATTTTCTAGGGCATCTTCTTGGATAGTTATTAACCTACAAGCAAGGTAGCTTTTGAAAAAAGCACTGTCAGCAATCATAAAAATGATTACTACTACAGCTGGTTTATAGAGTGTAACAGTCTCCTCTTTGATACAATTTTACTAACCAGTTTCAAACCACGATTGGTTCATAGTGCAAATAGAAGGGAGAATCGAGGGTTAGCTTTCATAAGCAACCATAGTCCTGGAGAAAATCTGATTTAAACACACGAATTAAGCCACCAGTTAATACAAAACGGGTAACTGGACAGAATCATATGAGTTGGAAGGAACCTCAGAGGTCATCCTGCCCAACCCCCCTGTCAATGCAGGAAGCCCACTACTACAGCATCCCTGATTGGTGACCTTCCAGCTTGCTTAAAAACCTGTGATAAAGAAGTACTTGCTTCAAGAGGCAGTGTATTCCACTGCATAAATTTCTTCCTAGCAGGTTAGTCTTTTTCATGTAATTTGAACCTGTTGGTTCAAGTCTTACTCCCTGGAGTAACAGATAACAAATGCTTACAGGAAGCCCAAAAGCAGGATCCAAGTGCAACACAACTTTCCCAGCAACTGGTATTCAGATGCATACTGCCATCATGACTAGCAACCTCTGAGAGCTTTATCCACCATACATTTGTCTAATCCTCTTTTCATGTCATTCTACATTGGGGTGGGGGACCTTTGGCTCTGCAGATGCTGCTGAACTACAACTCCCATCAGCCCTAGTAATCTTTGAAGTTCACCTTGCTTATTTCATAAATACAACCCAAAAATAGAACATGCAAATCTTAAACAGGTGCTGAAAGGGGTTTAGTTAGCAGTCTAACAATAACCAATGTTAAGCCAGTCTGAAGAACAGAATCCAACTCATTTAATGTACTTACATAGGAGGAGTGTTCGATTTAGATATTAGCTCATCCTTCAGTCTGATAAGCTCTCGAAGCTTTGGATATTCTTCAAACCTGTCTGCTAAGCCTAAGAGAAAAACATGCCATTTTTATGCTATAGAATTACGTTTTCATAAACAGGTGGTCACAAGTGAAGAAGTTTAATTTGACACAGACTCTCTGGCACAAACCCTTTCATTGAACTTGAGCTAGATGCTACAACTTAGTCAAGCATAGAATCACTTTGTGTTACAACCCAAATTTCTACCTGACCTTGCCAAACGCCAGTAGTTTCAGTGCACCGTTGCATGTAATATTCGAATAGATTACAAATGCCATATTTTGGGGCAGAATACCCTGCACTAATCCAGCCTAGAACAGGAGGGAAACACACACACTGCTCTGCTCTGTAAATGCAATATCAGCTACTTTCCCCAACAACCATGTCAACCCTGCCAGTAGCTGTGGAGATGACATTGAGATTTCCCCATGTCAGCCGGACACAGGAGAATCCAACCCATTTACACTAACAGGGATATACTCTGATTTTATGTCCTCCTACTCCCATCCCCCAGGCAACCTGCCAGAAATGTCATTTATTTATATATGAAGTGATAATCCACACTTTCATAATACAGCAGAATACAACATACAAGAATAGAATCAACTAAAATATGCACAAAAAAGTAATTAAAAACATCAATAAATGCTGAAAAGTCAAATGATGTGACATGTGAACCAGGCTAAGAAGTGTCTAAAGTCTTTTTACAGATGTCTGGTTGAAGCCTGCTATTTTTACTTTTAGGCATGGCTACCTGAAATCTAATTTTTGATTTCTGTGTATTACATACTTAGAGGAATTCAAACTTTTAAAACATATAATAAAAATAATTTCTGCAAAAGAAATGCCATTGCATTTGGAAGATAGATCACAAATATTTGAGATAGGATTCTTCAGCCAAGACAGGAAAAAGCAGTGATTCCCACCCTCTTCTCCACCCCTGCTCTCTGTACCATAAGTAAACTGGTATACAGCTAAACACCATTTAATAAAGCCTTTCACATAGACCACTAATTTTGCTGACACTGTCAAAGGCAGATCTGGAAACATCTGATATACTGTTTTCTCAGGATAATAGTGAATAAAAACTCCCACAACTCTTGCATGCAGAAACCATATGGCAAACATGAAAAACCACTTCATAAATGCATTCATGTTATTCTGACATACCCACATCTCTGATGAAGTTCTGAGGCCTATGTCCAGTATCCACAAAGTGTTGGCAATAATCGTTATGAGGATTTAAGCTCTGGGTCCCCTATAGGAAGAAAAACACCCAAGAACATAATTAGCAAAATGATGCACATCAGAGATACACTGGTTTTATCATGCCGTTTGCACATGAAGGAACCCAACACTATGCACAGGGTTTGGCTTGATTATCTTAATATCGCTTGCAGACAAGTGATCCATTATCTCCCCGCTCACTATTATCTTAACATGCTTCAGTTCTAATGCACAGCGTATCCTGCTCATCCCTTTTTAATGACATGAGGCATATAGCAAATAGAACAGTATAACCACCATTTTAGGCAACCAACTTTGCCACCTTTCAACCTTGTCATCATTGTGCATTACAGAAGCTTCAATGTTGTGGAATGCTGCAGCTTTAGTGTTTAACGCTGGTCAAAAGTATATCTAGGAGTATGCTTTTGTTAATTCAGTATTATTTATTTATTGAATTTATACACCGCCCTATACCCGCAGGTATAACAATCCTAAATTAAAATCCTAAATTTGTATTTCCAGTTATTTCAGATGCAATTATGATGTAAGATAGGAGAACAATGGCAACACTGAGGTATATGAATTGGTTACCTTAAGAAAAGTACTGGAATCTTTGTAAATTTCCTCTTCATAGGGCAGGTTCTCTTCATCTTGTTGCAATTCTACTTCATCCTTTGGAAGAAAGCACATTTTATACAAATGTAGAGACAGGATGTTTCTCTTCTCATTATCCTTCCACTTCTGGATGAAAGAAGACTGCCTATGAACATTAGCTTCCTGCAACAGCAGATCAAGAGTGGTTCCAATGACAGATGTTTTGGGGGGGGCAGGGAGAATAAAATCTAATGGTGCCAGAAAGGCCCCTCTCTGTCATTACTGAACCAATTACACCTTACAAGTTACATTACAAACTAAACAATCTCCTATATTACACTATTGTGACCTAGCCACTGTGATCCACGCGACGGTCACCTCCAGACTGGATTATTGTAACTCGCTCTACATGGGGCTGCCCTTGAGACAGACCCAGAAACTCCAGTGGGTGTAGAATGCTGCAGCGAGACTCCTTACGGGGTCCTCGCTGCGAGATCACATTCACCCGGTGCCATACCAGCTGCACTGGCTCCCAGTGGAGTACAGGATCAGGTTTAAGGTGCTGGTTTTAACCTTTAAAGCCCTATAGGGCCTAGGACCCTCGTACCTACGAGACCGCCTCTCCTGGTATGTCCCACAGAGAAACTTACGGTCTTCAAATAAAAACATCTTGAAGGTCCCAGGCCACAGAGAGGTTAGGCTGGCCTCAACTAGAGCCAGGGCTTTTTTGGCTGTGGCTCCGATCTGGTGGAACACTCTGTCACAAGAGACTAGGGCCCTGGAGGACTTGACATCTTTCCGCAGGGCCTGCAAGACAGAGTTGTTCCACCAGGCCTTTGGCCAGGGCACAGCCTGACTCCCTCCTTTGGCAATCTTCGTGGAGCTCTGGCCCAATGGTTGCCATTGGTTTGATTTGAATTAATTTTATAATGAATTATTTTAGAGTGTTGTGTTGTGTTGTGTTGTACTGTTTTATTGTTATTAGCCGCCCTGAGCCCGGCTTCGGCTGGGGAGGGCGGGGTATAAATAAAATTTTTTATTATTGTTGTTGTTGTTGTTATTGTTGTTGTTGTTGTTATTTCACTAAAGAGGAAAGATAAGCTTTTTGATATTGACTGGCTATATGTATATCATCATAGTAGTATGCTGTTTAAGGCTCCAAAATGGTTTCTCCATTGAGATAGCTATCAAACTATTTGTGCAATAGTATTAAAACAGGAACAGATCCAAAGACAATTCTTCAAGTCTTAAAAACCACTAAAGTATAAATTGTGGCCTTAATTATTAAAATATGTAATGTCGAGGTGCTTTGAAAAAGCAAACCTTATTATATTAATGTCTTGCAAAGTAATGTTTCAGACCTCTGCATTTCATATAACTCCATTAGAAAGAATGACAGACATATGCTGCTATTATAAGAAGAGGGATTACTGCAACACACTTTAACCTTATATTCTTCTATTTCTTCTTCATCAGCTTCTCCCTCATCTGGATATCTGCGTTTGGCATTTGGTGCAGATGTATCATAAGCGGCCCTGCAAATGTGAAAGAAAACAGTCTAGAACACATTTAATTAACTTGATTTCACTTATTTCTGGTTCTCATCTCATTCAATAGGGCACCATCTTTACTTCTATGGCAAATCAGGACTCTCCCAATTTAAAGCTTACTGGAGAAACAGTGGCATAGATTTAAAGATTAATTCACTTAAGGAAGTTCATGAAATAAACGTTCCCCAACCTCCACTCTGCAGGCCAGGAAAAGCCTCTCTAGAAGTGGGGAAGACTCCTGAATAAGCTTATTTTCATATTATGTTGGACATCAGAAGTGCAAAGAAATTCCTGCTTGACTAAAGTCATACCCCAGATAAACTGTAAATTCAGGCACTATTATAGAGCTTACTAGAGACAATATATACATTTACAAATAAGACCGCAGTGATTAATATACTACTATTTGCCAAACTCTTTTGTCCCTTACAATGAAATGCGTTTCCAGCTTTTTGCTGACAAACTGAACAGTCTGAATTAGTCAAGATCAAAACGAACTCAAGCTCCTTAGTGACACAGCAGTTGACAGGATCTCCCTTCTCCCTCTGAACTGCTTACGGTATGAGAAATGCAACCAACCTCTTTTAGTACAAACCTGCATGCTTCCCTTGTTTCAGCAATTTCCCTCTGCTCATCCTTGCTATTCAATACTGCACCAATGCTATCAGCACTTTCAGCCCCAAGCTGGAAGAAAAGCAAAAAACGAAGAACGCCGTAAACAGCACACTTAGTACCCAACGAAGAAGCCAGAGATGAAAGGTTTGATATAAACATAACATACTTTACCATTTGTAGTGGCTTTGTTTGAATAATTAAACCCCACTGAATTCACCCGCTGAATAGTTTGTGCCGAGTATGTAATGGAGCCAAGGGCACCTGAGTAAGCTTTATACCCGAGTAGGGTTTTTAACCAGTGTCTCCCATAAAGTCCTGCCTTCCCCAGCCTGGCTGCAACCCAAAACACCTGGAGAGCTCCGGGCTGGGGGGGCCTGTCTTCCAACACAGGCTCTCTCAATGTACAGTGGTACCTCGGGTTAAGTACTTAATTCGTTCTGGAGGTCCGTTCTTAACCTGAAACAGTTCTTAACCTGAGGCACCACTTTAGCTAATGGGGCCACCTGCTGCTGCCGCGCCGCCAAAGCACGATTTCTGTTCTCATCCTGAAACAAAGTTCTTAACCCGAGGTACTATTTTCCCAGTAGTGATGTATGGAAGTGACAGCTGGACCATAAAGAAGGCTGATCGCCGAAGAATTGATGCTTTTGAATTATGGTGCTGGAGGAGACTCTGGAGAGTCCCATGGACTGCAAGAAGATCAAACCTATCCATTCTGAAGGAAATCAGCCCTGAGTGCTCACTGGAAGGACAAATCCTGAAGCTGAGACTCCAATACTTTGGCCACCTCATGAGAAGAGAAGACTCCTTGGAAAAGACCCTGATGTTGGGAAAGATGGAGGGCACAAGGAGAAGGGGATGACAGAGGACGAGATGGTTGGACAGTGTTCTCGAAGCTACCAGCATGAGTTTGACCAGACTGCAGGAAGCAGTGGAAGACAGGAGTGCCTGGTGTGCTCTGGTCCATGGGGTCACGAAGAGTTAGACACGACTAAACAACTAAACAACAACAAAACTATTTCTGGGTTAGTGGAGTCTGTAACCTGAAGCATATGTAACCCGAGGTACCACTGTATTGTATTATCACTTGAAAAAGAGCCCTGGAAAGCACACTGTTAACAGAAACTCTGAATTACTTGCTCCTTTAAAGACAATAAAAACACCGCCGTCATTCATCATCATTATTTATAAATAACACCACCAAACAGATGTACCAGGAAACACACCACCCCTCCAAAGGTCCCAGAGACAGGAGGCTGAACTATTCCTATACAGCCCCCTCGACCTCCCATCCTCGTCTCCATGGCGACGGCAACCCCCCTCTCCCCACTAGGGGAGACTCGGGCTTTACGTCACAGCAGTGCGCTAATTATGAGATTCATTAGGAGACGGGAGACAAGCCACTCTGCCCCCACCCCACCCCGGGGAACACCCACGCGCCGTCGTCGCTTCCCGAAAGACAGCTGCCGCCTAGAGATAATCGACTCGGGTGTCCAAGCCGCCTCTACCTGCTGAGCCAGGAGCTGCCGGCGCAATTTTTGCCGCTCTCTGATCTCCTGCAGGCGGCTGTTCATCCTCGTCCGACGGATTCGCGGGCGAAAGAACTGTCGTCGCCTACCTGGCGCCTACCTAAAACGACACTTCCGCCCTCCTCTATAGCCGGTACCATCGACGGTAAGGAGTTTTGCCAGTACTTTTGTAGGAATGACTGGAACATAATGTACAGAAGTGAATGGAACCTGTGCGACCGCTCTCGTTCCGGTAGCTGTGAGCGGCCATTTTTGTTGAGGGCAAGCGGAAACTCTGGCTTGGCTGCTTTAGTGTGGGGTTTGCTTTGGTTTGCCTTTTAATTAACCGTTTCAATGAAAGTTGCTAAAAGGCGCATTAGAAATATGCCACATAAACGAATCGATGCAAATTGTTGTTTCATTATTGAAAAATCAGCAATTTATTTTTCCAGGCAAGTATCTACATTGTTGACATAAACATGTGGGTCAGCTGATGTGTAACTCACAAAAGCAGGTTCATTGTCATTCTTAATTTGTTTTTATTTTATTTTTTAAATATCAAACACCTCATTTAATAGGGTCCACATTGTTGCAAATACGTTGGCTCCATCTGTGTGTAGTTGGCATATAGACGTTGTTGGCGTCTACCGCTTTCACCTTATTTTTGTATTTTTTTGTGTGGTGTGCCTTTCACTACCTTGAATACAGCATCCATATGATGCTGCAGCTGTGACACATCTTCCCCTGGCTTAATTGGAGTGTACTGTACAGAAGTCTTCCGCTTTTTCAGACCTGGGACTTGCCTTTAACCCAAACATGGATTTGAGGATTCATTTCTTAAATTTTCACCATGGTGATAGTACTGCTATTGTGACCTTGGACCAGGTTGTGACTTAGTGGTGGGTCCAGGCCCACCAGTTGAAGATCCCTACATACTATTGGGTGTATGCAGGCTTGCTTTATTGGGCTGTAGATGCACCATACATTTAAAGCGTATTGCTTTCTACCTTCCCCACAGAGAATCCTGGAAACTAATTTAGCCATCACAGAGCTACAATTCCCAGGACTCTTAACAGACTGTAGTTCTTTTTGGGGAACTCATGTGGTTTAGATGTATGGTGTGTGCACAGCCAAATATACCATTATGAGGCAGGGTTGTTTCAAGAACCTTTGCTGCGCAGGTATAAGCAGGTTGACAGTACAGTATTTGGAAATAAGCTCCACTATGTTCATTGTTGTCATTCCCAGTGCTGTTTTTCTAGAAAAAGAGGTGCCAGAATAATGGCAATAGTGCCCACTTGAGAGGTGAGTTCCGGCTGGAAAAAAGCTCTGGTTATTCCTATGTAAATTTGAAAAGTATTGTGTTGTTAAATTCTTCATGGTTTTCCCCAAGGGGAACCCTGGACATGATACAGCTTATAACCCCACATCACTAATGTTTTAAGATTTGTCATTATTTATAAGAATACCTATAAATAATAATGGAAGTGAAACAAAATAATTAAAATTAAAATTAGGACTTTTAAAAACAGGTATCTGGCATTATTTATTTAATGTATTTTTTATTGACAATGATATAATAATCAAATAGTAAAAGGTAAAGGTACCCCTGCCCGTACGGGCCAGTCGTGTCCGACTCTAGGGTTGTGCGCCCATCTCACTTAAGAGGCCGAGGGCCAGCGCTGTCCGGAGACACTTCCGGGTCACGTGGCCAGCGTGACGAAGCTGCTCTGGCAAGCCGGCACCAGCGCAGCACACGGAAATGCCGTTTACCTTCCCGCTATAAAGCGGTACCTATTTATCTACTTGCACTTAAGGGTGCTTTCGAACTGCTAGGTGGGCAGGAGCTGGGACCGAAAGACAGGAGCTCACCCTGCCGTGGGGATTCGAACCGCCGACCATGCAATCGGCAAGCCCTAGGCGCTGAGGTTTTACCCACAGCGCCACCCGCGTCCCTATACTTGTGCCCTATGCAGCTCTGTGTGTGATCGAGTCAATTCAATCATGCATCTTGAATAAACAACAGCAATTGAATTAGTCTGCTGTTAACTGTCACTGTAACTTTGAAGCACATCAGATCATATGACCAGACCATTGTAAGAATGTGGTTAGGGTTGATGGAAAAAGTTCATTTATACACAATATGCTCTCAAGCAGGTTCTCCGTCTCTCACGTTGGAAATAATATAGAAATTAGGAACCAGCATTTCGCTAGCTGTGAACCTCAAGAAGATAAAAATTAAATCATTCTGGGTCATGTGATGGAGCTCTCTCTGGTAGAGCTGCTGAGAACCTCATTCAAAAACACACTTGTGGGCTTCATGGCACAAGTGGGGTACATTGATCCCTTGTAGTAACAAAATATTAATAGGGAAATGGAATTTGAACAGCTGTGCATCCCCTAATACATTTTAACCCACCTCAAATCATAGAACCAGACCACCAGGAGACTGCTCCCTGTGAGCAGCTGCATACTACTGCACATTCCAAAAGTGGTCTGTGTGGGTATCCTCATACCTCACCTTGGAAACATAAATGCAAAGAAGGAATTAGTTTCACCACTTCTGCATCCAAAAATAGACTTTGTATCCCCCCAAACTATTATCCGGACCACTCAGAAATTGCCCTCTATGAGCTTTTATATCCCAGTGCTCAATATTTGATGTGGTTTTATAGATTTCTGTTATATCAAATAACTGCCTGGAGAACAAATGCATTCTACTTCATTTTGTCAATCTCCCCCAACTCAAGCACGTGGAGCTACATAAATACAATTTGGCAGTATTCAGCAAAAATGAAGCGTTTTATGTCCATTTGATTTCAGTGGAACGGATGATCATGTTCATTATTAATATTAATATCTAGAACAGCTTTTTGCAAAGGTTTAACACAAACAAGGATATTTGTTGATCGTTGCTAAGCTGTATGAATATGTGATTTTCTTTTACTAAACTGGATCTCCCACCCTTAACATTGAAAAAATAATGCTTTAGTGAACTGCCAAACTGTCCCAGTCATATAGCTACTACAATATCGGTTCCCGAAACTGCACAACTCTGTTTTGAAGTGAACGGTGCTTAACTATTAATATCATTTTACATGGAAAGATTAGGAACAGTTTTTCTTAGGAAAAATGCATTTTTAAGTTCTGGAAAACATGAGCTGGCTAAAAAGTAAAATAAAGTATCAAATAACAAACCTAATTTTGAAATAGATATGCACAGTCATATCAGGGAGCAGCTAGACACATTAGCACAGGGTGTTTGGTTACTTTTCTAGTAGGAAATGCTATTTTGTCACTTGATCCACATTATAGGGAAGTAGTCAGGACATTCCTGCTGTGTGTGAGGCTAAGCTTCCTCCTTGGTTTTATCCCCCTGCCTGCCTGCTCCCCCCCCCCCAAGAGTTATGCTCATCAGAATGCATTTGACTACTGGAAGACAGATAGGGGAAATTTATTTCAAGGGTCACTACAGAAAGTTGAGATGCTACATCGCTTTGAATGAACAGAATAATGGCACTTCCAAACCACTTTCTTATACAGTAGATCGCATGATTAGCACAAGTAGCTCAAGTAGCAAAATGATATCTTTGATTGAACAGAAACGCAAACCAAACAGCTTTAGTTATCTCCTCAATAAGATTGTGGCTGATACCTCATCATAGCAATTACCCATGTGTTGTGTGAAGCACAGATCAATCTCTTTCTTCAAACTTGGGTTAATAGTTTTGTGACATTTAATTTTTTTTCATATTTCAGAAGTTCAGCATTCCTTCCTTGTACAATTTCTGCACTGGAAAACTTAGCCTGTCCGGTAGAGAACTTAATTGAAAATACCCATTCTGCTGCACCATTGCTAACAATTTTGTTAATGTTTGCTTTGAAATTGCTTTTTATTTCATTCTTAGAAGACTGTGCACTCCTACTGATACTTCTTTTTTTGAAAAAGGTGGGAAACTGAAATACGGCTATCTTCCAGTAGCAAGTTTATTCTTTCTCCATCACATTTGAACCGGATATCGTGCTATTGGCATTGAGTAACACACCATGGGACAAAAGCTAAGCAGATTTGGCCTGCCTAGAACCTGGATTAGAGCCTGTCAGGGAATAACAACAACAACAACATACATGAGATCCAATGTAGATTTGTACATAAAATCAAGTGCTCCTGGCAACTAATTTGGGGTGCATGTGTTCACTCACTAAATAAAAAGGTATGCATTACTGATTTATAATGTTAACAACATAATGGATATCTTCTGTTGTTCTTTTTTTTAATGCCATTTTGTGATTTAGTACTTCCTGCGTTACCAGCTTACTACTTTTACCACCCTGTAGATGGAAACTTCATAGAGAAACTTCATCTCAAACTACATCTCTCTTGTACCATTAGCTGTAATGAATATGGTGGAAGTCCCTACGCAGTAACTGAATCACTTCCTCTTGGCTATTCAGACTTCCCAAATATATATATCCACTGAAATGATGAACAGAGATTTGTGTGCGGGAGTATTCTATTTTTAGGACTGTCTCGTAAGACAAGGTAATTTTATAACACTCTCAGTGCTGGCTGTGGCACAGTGGAGGATCACACTGCATCTGAGTGAAAAATATTAAGTTATTGGAGTTTTCAAAAGTATATACCTTATAGGAAATCTGCACTGCATTATTTTTTGTTTTAAATAAATGCTGAGCTGAACTTTGTCCATGTCCAGTCAGCTAGAGTTGCCCTTATTCACATTTTAATTGAAGAGAGAGAGGGAGCCCAGACACAGCTGAATACTTTGAGGCTCAGATTATTTAAGCGGGAAACTTGAGCTCCTGCTTAACCCTCTCTCCTTTTGAAATTCATGGGATGTAATTTCTTGTCCAACAGTAGGGCATACTTAGAGCACAATAGCCAGTTAAATAACCATAAGTAGGGGCGAAACTAGGCTTTATTTCACCTGGGTCAAAGACCCAGCCTGGCACTCCCTTCCTCCCCTAGCTAGGGCACTGCTTTAAGAGACTTAAGTTGCAAGCCAAGCTCCTCACCCACCATGCTAGGGTGGGGGGTTGGATGGGGTGGAAGCCTCCCTCTCCTACCCCATCCAGTCTCCCACCCTAGCATGGTGAAGTCTCCTTCTCCAAGCCCAAAGCA